GTGAGTGAGATGAATAATGCGAGTAATGTGGTGTCGCGGGGAATGAAGAGGTCGTCCCATTTCCGGACAGATGGGGAGAGGAAGAGGATGAAGACGGAGTCGCGCTTCGTTATTTGTTAATTTGAAGGGGATCTCCACACGTCCGTCTTTTCTGATTATGTTTTTTTTTTTTTTTTTTTTTCTTTCTTTTTCTCTTTGATTAATGAATAAAATTGTCGATGATTTCCTGAATAAATGGCATGGTGAGGGTTCACCAATAACTTGAAGCAAAAGATGAAGCATTTCTCAGCACGTGGAGCCAACCGTCTCTACTTTCGACCAGCGGCCTGGAGGGACCCTTGCATAGGCCTACTTGACCCTCGTAATGAGACGGTTGGAGGTTTTCTCGTACACTCGAGAGACTCCTCAAGATCCCAGCGTATGATGAAGTTGTTTTCGCCGAAGTTTGAAAAAGTAATTTTACCCTCACTCTCTACTTAGCCAATTTTATTGTCATTAGATGAAGTAATTACCATAATTTCCTACGTCATTTTTAAAAAATCTATTTTTAAGCAGCGTAGTAAATAAATTCGTTACGCACACAATCCAAAAGCACCGATATGGTTGTACAGATTTGACATTCTAATATCTATCCATTGGATATTGTGACGACAAGGTTCTCATTGCCGCAAGAACCAGCGGGTTGAGTTAACTGTTGCGGTCGTGTCAGATGCAACGGGATGTAACAATAAAGCAAGATCAATAAATCGTTTTACTAATACGAACAATAGCACGTCGCCTGTCCTTTCAGACTGAAGACTCTCCAACCTCTTGTACCCAGTATATGTTCGTGCTTTGCGAAATACCTTCGACTTAAAAAAAAAGAAGAAATAACAACTCGAGTACTCTTTTGATCTTCGTAAAAAAAAGATGAAAGAATAAATAAATAAACAAGCAGGGAATTAAACAAGATTTTATAAGCGGAAAAGAGTTTACGTCACGTAAATAGTTAAGGAGTGTAATGTAAGACACGGGCAAGCCAGTAAGTTTGAATATTCTCAAAGTCAAGGGAAAGCGGGCACTCGCCGCAAGTACAGTACTTTGAACTTTGCGTGTCGGGTTTGTCATGAGTTAGCTGGTAGACCGGGTGCCATTAAATAAAACATATATGTATCTTTTACGAGCTACTGCATGACCTCTCACTTTCACCGGCTGATTCTACGTTCTTGAGAAACTGAACGCAATGTTAGGTGTTTCGAAAAATGATTTGATAGAAATGTAAATCGACATATGGATATACGAATAAGAGAAGTAGACAGATTATACAGAGGCAGATGGAGGAACGTACTGGTAAAAATCTTAGGCAGATTGAATAAAGAGAAAGATTGAGTTAGTAAGTAGTAACTTTTTTTCCTGTACATAATATTGTAAAAAGGAATAAATTCGGGTTTTCTTTTTTACCTCTTACTACCCCTCTAAGAGATGCTTCGAGTTGGATAAGCAGGCGGTAAGACAAAAATACACAGATTTAATCCAAACTGTAGATACGCATCTCATTTTTTTTTCAAAATTTACATAAAACAACTTTCGAAACTCTCTTTGTCCGTTTTTTTTTTTTACTCATACTAAAACAGATCACGTCTGATCTCTGATGCTGGATGTGTCTGATACACGGAGAAATATTTAAAGGTGATTTTAACATGGTATTTCTTCTCCGTGGTTCGTTGGAAGAAAGAAAATGCTGATGGCTGCTTTCGTTGTCCGCCTCAACGGATCTTGCCGGGGGCGGGGGGGGGGGAGGGGGTGGGGGGGGGCTTTCACGCTGCGGGGAAAAAGTAACACTTAAAAGTTTCCCCAGAAAGTTTTTCTCCATTTTGTATACGCAGGATGGTCTGCTTTCTGCACCTCCTGTGAGAAGCCAAGCAAGCTGGTGGCTAAACAAGTATGGGGAAATTTTAAAAAGGAAAAAAAAAAAAAAAATGGAACGCTGATACATCCTCGCAAGTATTAGATTTTTTATACGGGGATGAATTCATACATATGTGCGCCCACACACACACACACACACACACACACACACACACACACACACACACACACACACACACACACACACACACACACACACACACACTCTTTTCCTCCTCTCTCTCTCTTTCTCTCTCTCTCTCTCTCTCTCTCTCTCTCTCTCTCTCTCTCTCTCTCTCTCTCTCTCTCTCTCTCTCTCTCTCTCTCCCTCTCCCTCCCCCCCTCTCCTATCTCTCTCTCTCCTCCTCTCCTCTCTCTCCTATCTCTCTCTCTCTCTTGCTAATATCAAGACGATAAACACTATCATCAAGGCTTTAAGTGGCATATGATTAGTCGTTAAAAACTATCATGTAGGCAACAAGTTTTCTCATTAACTCCTTTAAGTTGGAAGATCCACAAGCTTCCATGTTTCCTTATTTTGTCGTGGAATATCTGGAAGAACATCACTTTTCTTATGGATAATATCAAGTGAAGAAGATAACATTCACATTTATCAGCTGCCAATGTTTTCTATTGAAGCTACAAGCCGTATTGTGGATGATGTGTCCCTTGCTATTCTTTTTCTGCCATGCGTATCTTTCTTGTATTAACCAAGAATATGATTTTAATGCTTGACAGTAGGTTATGATTTAGCATAGGAAAAAAGAGTGTGAACTGACAAAACGTGTAAATGCTCAAAAGACAGAAGGAAAGTGTGGATTTGATTTTCCCCATTGTGGAAGACCGCAACGAAATGTTTCTGTGTTCGGAATTCACAAACGCACTTGCGAGGGTCAAATCGATGGTAATTACAGTTACCATCGTAAACAGACAGCCGTGATATTTGATGACAACTTACCATCGGAGTTACCATGATCGGAGCAAAGCTAATTCTGCTGGGAACTTCATGGACGACGATGTTATCACGTGTTATCTCTTCCGAAAGTCAATATTTAAGCAAAGATTTGGGTTTGTTTTAATAACTGTTATGATTGCAACGATGGCAAGCGCATAGCACAAGGTCGTGATGTAGAAATGCCTAGACCAATATGAGAGTATAAAAAGTATATAGAATTACTAGATCGGTGAACTCCTGAAGCATTCTTCTCTAATGTTATTATTACAAATTCTAAAGAAAAACACACTTATTGATCCATAAACTAGCAACAGAAACATTAAACGAGTGTAGCAGCTTCTGTCTCTGTGGCAAAGGACAACAGAGTCCAAACAGCGTGGAGCAGCAAAGAGTTTGATTGATTTCCTTTGTTTGACGATAAATGGCGACCAAAAAAAAGTATGTTTTCTTCAGGTTCTTTTTTGACAGTGAAAAAAAGTAAATAAATATATACAAACTGTGTTTAGACTGATTCCTCGGTTGACGATAAATGATATGTTATAAACTCGGTACGTGTATGCCATGTCTGTACTGGTTCTTATTTTGACGATAAATAGCCAGGTAGGTCTTTTAACATTCTTTATAATGGTTATATTTGAACAAATTTTTATTTACAAATTTTCTACTTATGCTCATATGGTGCAATCATGATTTAAAAATGCGCTGTTGCGTCGTGTTTTGTCTACACGTTACGTAACTGGCTGAATGAGCAAAAAAATAAAAAAACTATGCATGGCATTCGCAGATTGGCAAAATGGTTTTATAAGAGCTACCATTAGAACGAGTCGATTACGACTGCAGTTCTGCCGCGGTAAGTTACCATCTCTTCGTGAATCCCACTTTACCGTCGCTGGTAAACGCGATGATAACTGACTGCTGGTAAATGCGTTACGATCGGTTGTTAATGCGTGCGGCACTTGGATGTCACGCTACTTTGCGTAAAAGTTGGTTTAAAATATATATTCCATATCATGATGTTCATTAGTTGAGATTAACTACATCAATATTGACTTTATTTGAATAATTATTTTCCCCCGTACCCTTCTGAACAGTGCTAGGTCACACAAACATATATATTTATATATGTGTATATGAATATATATGGCTGAGCACGGGTTACACATCGCGTGACGTACCCAGAGTTTTCCAGTCTCTTAGTTCTCTGTGATCTCTTATTTTATTGCAATATTTGTTCAGTCTACCGTGTAGGGCACTCTTAGAAGTAATCTGTGGATTCGATTAGATTTTTTCTTATTTATTACTAGTAATGTTGTATTACAATATTTGTGTTAGTTTTCAGTCCACATTCAGAGGCTACCGACCTATTTTGTCACCATTATAATATATCTTTAATCGTAATGCAGGGTCAGTTTTCAGTCAATATTTTCTTTGTTTTTACAACATTGTGAACTTTTTTCATTAACAATAAGGTTGTCGCTTGCGCGTTTTGCCATTTGATGTTCTTGTGCTTCCGAGATATTGGATGCCAGTGACTTGGATATATTTTGACGTCTTGCCTCCCGTACGTCTTCTTTGGCTTTGATCTTGGCTTTTCTTTTGTCCGCACTGATTCCCATGCCGTCGGTTGCTGTGGCTCAATGCAGCCTTTATTATGAGGTCTTCGAGTCCTTTTTCTTGAGTCTTTTAAGGATACTTACCCAGGATCCGGGGTTTATGATGTGTCTTGGCCTTCTGTTGTGCTGGGTCGTGGGTTTCGTTACTATAATCCGTAATTTTAGGGAATAGATGCTAAATGGTTTCTGAAACAAAACAGAACCCTGGCAATGCGCGTGTGAGAGACAGAATGTATACACCCACAAACACATATAGATTAATACCAAAGAACATGAACCTTATTCATATTGACAAATGTAGCAAAGGTATGAATGAGAATGGATATCACAATACAAGAGATGTATTTGACCCGTTTCGATTCTATATTCCTCAGAAATACACGCATTTCTGACGAAGATAGAATCGAAACCGGTCAAATACATCTCTTGTCTTGCGAAGACATCCATTCTCATTCATACCTTTTCTACCGAAGAACATCTCGGCGAACAATCCCCTAAGCGCCCCGCCAGGAAGCCACGGCCGCTGTATCGACTGCATCTGAAGG